GGAATTATCCAGTGGAGACGGAGGAAATACCAATGTAGAAAAAGAAAAGGAGGACCTGCTAGGTATTTGACTAAACAAAGATAAGGAAGTCTTGAGTATAAATGGGGGAGCTTGCCTCAGAGAGGTATTCAGTTTGTCTGTGTAAGAATGAAGGGAACATATGTAGTTACAGAGGCTAGCAGCAATAGATAGCTTCAGTTTAAGACATGCATAGCACTGTCCAAATAAGAAGCAAAAGACTAAGAAAAACAGAATATCATGGTAGTTGGATATTGCAGGGCTTTAGCTCCTGGTTCAGTCCTTAACTAGCTATGTGACATAAAGCAAATACCAAACTTCATGCTTCAATTTCCTCAAACATAGGTGGAGATAACACTGGTGCTTACCTCATAAAGTTAAACAGATGGACCAAATGACATAATGTATCTAAATATATCTATCTTCTGCCAATAAAATATAAGCTCCGTGAAGGCATGGATTTCCATCTTTTTTTCTCTTTCAATTGTACTTACATGGTGTCTGGCATATAGTAAATATTCAACAAATGTGACCTACCAGCTCATTTTGACACCATCATTGGTGCAGAATGAAGTAATCCTTACCTTCACCAAGACAAGGGGCATTTTACTTAACTGGCATAACTCTGAGGGTGGGGAAGGAAGAATGTGGATATGTGGTTTGAAAATCAAATTCTTAATAAGAACGTCGAAAATTTCAAGATTCTTTCTTTTCCTATCACTATCATTTCTGTTGATGTGTCTCCCGAAGGTAGTTAACCTAGTTCTTATTACATAAGTATCTTGCATTCTCATTAATTTTCCTTTTTCAATAGAGCATAACAATGACAATAACATTCCGTCAGCAAACCATGTTATCATCTGAACTCTCTATGCTATTGGTATTTCTTATGGTAACACTGCATTTCTAGGTAAATGCATGCAGATTTTCAGTTTCATTATTTTTCATGACCATCTAACCAAGATGTTCACTGATTAGTAGAACAAGAAAAATAAACACCATATATCAATTTCAATTTAATTAAGAGTGACCTACTTAAAACTGTTTCTCACTGTTACAGTCAAATTAAAAAATGTGCATTTGATGGTAATGTGTAAGATGAAGCATACAGAATCATTAGACATTTTTAAATACAGCTTATATCTTGCATGTATAATCACATCAGCTAATGATCCACTGAATAATCTGATATATCAATTAGCTCCATCAGTATTAAAGTATCTGCTAGTATTTTTAGCATCTGTTACTTCAGTGAGTAGAATAATCAGTGAAACTAAATTTTCACTATAGTAATTCAATAGTCCATCTGCCTAGTTGATTAAATTGTTGGACTCCTTTGCAAATAATAATATTTTATGTGGTAAACATTTACTCTGATTCAATAAAACATTGAGTTTTTATAATTGTATGCATCTAAAATTACAATATAAAACATGTTAGTTGTTATTTTTGCAATGTTGATACCAAAAATTTTTACATTCATTTATATAATTTGTTTGACAAAGAGTGTGGCTTTAACCAAGAAGACCTCAGAAGTCATTGACCTGAACCAACAAATTGGTAATGAACAACCAATGTTATAGCTACAATTCATTTAAATATTATATGCTGAATACTGTGATTCAAAATTTACTTATGTTATTACATTTAATTCTCAGGCAACCCAAAGAGGCAATGCTATTTCCAAATCACACATGGAAAATATAATAGGACTGCACATATTAGTGAAATCATACAGTATTTTTCTTTCTGTGTCTGGCTTATTTACTTAGCAAACTGTTCTTCAGGTTCACTCATGCTGTCACAAATAGGAGGATTTCCTTTTTCTGAGGTTGAATAATATTTCACCGTGTGTGTATATATGTATGCATATATACATGCATATAAGTATGTGTATATATAATGTGTGTGTGTGTATGCACACACACACACACACACACACACGCACAAGACTCACACTTTATCCATTCATCCACTGATGGACATTTAAATGGTTTCCATAACTCAGCTACTGTGAACAATGCGGTGATGAAAATGGAGGTGCAGATATTTAATATCTTTTCAAAATGATGGTTTCATTCCTTTGGGTACAGACCCAGAAGAGAGATTGCTGGGTCATATGATAGTTCTATTTTGGAATTATTTCAGAACCTCACTATTGTTTTCTACAATGGCTGCACCAATCTACATTCCCACCAATAGGGCAAAAGGATTTCCCTTCCTCCATACCCTCACCAACATTTGCTATCTCTTGTCTTTTGGATAACTGTAATTCTAACAGTGCAATCTAAAAAAAAAAAAAAATAAACCAAATTAAAAAAAAAACTTGAATACAAAGAAGCAGTGAGTAGAGCAGTTGGGCCATCCCCCAGGGATGGAGTGGGGACAAGTATGAGAAAAAGGAGGTCAAATGGTACAGTTTAATAACAGTTGTATGAAATACATTATTCTAATAAATAATTCACCATAGTGAATAGCATTATATGGTATAGTAGAAATGTGTTAAGGGTAGATTTTAGATAACTATGTGAGACCATTGATATGTTAATTTGTGTGACTATAGTAATAATCTCACTATGTATAACCATGTCGAAATATGTTGTAACTTAAACATATAATAAAAATAAAGTGTATTAAAAACTATTTTTAAGAAAAAATTCAATAAGCTTGATTAGCTTCAATGACTAATCCATGGTTATAGGGTTAGAATATGGTAGATCCAGTAATCAAACTCAGCTATGACTAAAGTTAAAGCTCTTGCTCAACTCTAAACGACTGCTATCAGATCTCTAACTAGAAGACAGATGATCAAATATAGAAATGAGTGACAAGGTTCCTGCCTCACAACCTGGTTGGGGGACATAGAGTGTAAAACCAAAAATTTCAGAACATAATAAATTATTTAACAAAAATACATATTGAATCATATTGGTACAAGATCATTGCCTGGCAGACATTTGGTTCCCTAAGGATTTAAAATGACTGGATATATAATTAAATCTACTTGAAACCATAAATACAACACTAATTACTATGGCTTCTTTACTTGTCTTCAGCATGGCTACTTCTGTGCTCTGTAAAGACTAACTTTGGCTCCGATTTTTCATTGATTTGAACAACTGTGAAACCTTTGTTTATACATTATACCATTAGCAACATTTGGCCTTGGTCCATACTCATCATCTCCATAAAATTAATAAATATTACAACACTGCGTTACTTCACAACACTATGCCATTTTCATGACAAGTCAATGTCTTACTTTATTGCACTTCAGAAACCATTAACATTTATCAAAAATATAAAAAATACGTTTCATTATAATTATCTCTGCAGAGGTACCTGCAGAGATAATGGATTTCAATATGACAGATATAGGATATCTGTTATTTTGACATTAGAAAAGTAACCCTAAGAGCAGGCAGATATGATCACCAACAGCTTTGAACATATGTACCAACATATAGCTAACAGACTTACTATTAGAAGGTGGGCAGTAGGGGAGAGAGAGGGAACACAGGCAACACACTGACAAAGCAAAAATAGTAGCTACTACAGTTCTCCCTTGGCTGCTTACTATAACATACCAATATACTGCTATTCGGATAATAGACCCCTTCCCATTCTGATCACAAATGTGAGCACATGACCCAAACTAAGCCAACCAGATTCTCTCCTCTGTAAATTTCAGTTATGGTTTCCCTATGAACACACACATTCAGAAACCAAAATTAGTTAGAGTGAGTCATGTGATACTCCTTCCTCAGACATAAGCAAAGCCTCCCTGGTTTCTCCCTTTCTCAAGGTTTGGTTTTCGAACCTTCTTTTTAATCTTTTCATACACATACTATGTTTGGCTTAGTTCTTTATTTACTAATAAAATCATTCTAAGTGATAACCTGATAATGTTAAATGATAACCACATATTCTAAATGAAACTCCACTAAAAATGGGGTACATGAAAAGAAAAACAAACAAGTATTAGTCCCTTGCACTGTTTTTTTCCCCACTGTGAAGTGAATTAGAAGATGAGAGTGATTTGAGTGGACTACTGCAACAGTATTTAGAACATTCAGTAAACCCATGAGTAAAGGCTTTGACAGAAGCATTACAGGCTGGAAAACAAAAGCATATCCAAAAGAAGTACCTTAGAGACTACAGATTGCTCACTTTTATAAAATGGAAAAAGGCCAGTGTAATTGACCTGTAAACAGGTAGCTGGCTGATCTCTTAGAACTATCATTTCATAACAGGGATCTTTTGCTTATCAGTGATTTCAGAAAACGAGACAGTCACAATAGTAGTAGCTAGATCTTTAGGTCACTGGTAGTGTGTGAAAAATCCATATAATTGAACACATGTATTACATACATTTCCATACTTGCCATTTTGAAAGTAAGCCCAGTGAATAAACCCTGGCTTTACTATGGAAGGGGAATGACTACATCTACAGAGTGGATCACCCTATTTTTCTGTTTACTTAAAGCTTTCTTTCAAGCCAGATGTTCTTAAGGAAAACTCACACTTAAAGCTTTCTTTCAAGCTAGATGTTCTTAAGGAAAATTGATGGGCCTCACAAAAACTAGGCCCATTTCGTGAGGCCAAATAACATTTTGTTTGCAAATCATATGAACAAAAGTCAAGCTAGCTTAAACAAAAAGAGAATGGCAGGGTAGGCAAAAGGGTAGGGCAAAAGGGCAGGGCAAAGCGGGGGAAGGGCAAGGATGGAAGGAGCAAGGAAGTAAAGAAAGAAGAAAAGAAAGAAATTAACTGACTCACATAACTGGGAAAGTTAGGGGTGGTACCTGCATCAGACATCAATCAGATATTATCAGGACTCTGAATTTTTCAGCTTTACTTCTCTTTATGGTTTCCTTCTCTTCTACTAAGGGGAGTCCTGTCTTTTGCAGATGACATGATTGGGACAATATCATGAATTTATCTTCTATTTCCTATTGTCTGTGTACATATCACCAACTCACTTGTTTTAGGTTATGTGTACTTCCAAATCACAGCCAGACATCAGTTATGTCACAACTCTGCTGCATAATCCGGTTACTTTTGTGAATAGCAGTCCCATCAGAACCTCATGGAATATGACAGGGTCAAAATTAAAAAGAAGAGGGTAGGGTATTTGTGTCAGAAAACCAGATAATGGGTAGACAAAAATCAGGCTGTGCATTACAAAAACATTACTATTTTGTGAAATAAAATACTATACAAATTTGATAACTTATACTAATTTAATATCCAATTTAGCCTTAAATATTAAAGATAAAAAGACTTAGAAAAGAAGCTTTAATCAAGTAAATGATCTATTTCTATATTACTGATAAGCAACTGAAGTAAAATTCTCAACCCTAAGATCCACAGAAGGATCACTTCTGCAAAGACATGTTGTAATTCTCATGATTAAATTCTTGTCTTATGAATACATGTTGATTTCTTATCTTTATATTTAATGCTATCCAGAAGTGCTGCTTCTACAGTATTGTATCTGTAAAATACTAAATATTATCACATATTAGCTCCTTGATCTCGATAGGTTATCATATTTCATTTCACAACAAATTATTTTTCTTTTCAAAATTTCTTTTAGCTAAAAGTGTTTAAATAATTAAATTATAACCTGTTTAAGGCACATGCAAAATCTGGCATGAAATTACAAGCAAACATATATAAAAATATGCAAACAAAGTTTTAGAATTTATTTCATTATTCAAACGAGTTTTAAAATGTATTTAAAGAGCATTAAAAATTCTCAGATAAGGCACAGACTGTAGCACTTTATGTCTCATTGCTTGTGCAGCTATTGTCTCATATTTTGACAAATCAGTAGAACTCCACTCACATGAATATTAAGTGAGAAGATGAGAACCTGCTGAGGAAAGGTATACTGTCACTGATGTAGAACCAACTATCAAAAATTTAAAACTAATAATAAACTGCTTTCATTAAAAGAAAAAAAAAAAAACACCTCTCTTCTTTCACATCCATGTTGAATGATGCGAAAGAATTCCACAAAATCTGATACAGCAATTTGAGGTTTTTGTTGAAACTACTCAACATACATCTTTTAAAAAATCAGTTTTCTTCATATCATTCCCACATGTAAAGCCTTTTTATGCTCACTTCATTGTCATATTCTTCTCAAATTAAAGGCAAAAATAAGCATGTTAGGATACTAAGGAAAGAGGAAGAATTAAAAAAAAGCCTGAGTGGACAGGGTGGGAGATCTTTACCTAACCACATGAATAGAGCAGAAGGGGAACTTCTGCTGTTACCATACAGCAACTCTGCCTAGTAGAAAACGTGGCTCCTCCATCCACCAATCTAATACTCTCTCTTATGGGAAAAAAAAGAGGAAATAAACAGAAAAAAATTCAATCATTCGATGCCTATTTCTCAGAATTGGTGAGAATATAAATAATGCATGAAAATGTTTATTCAAAGTGACTGACAGTTAAATGCAATAGATTGATCCTATTTGTTCTTTTTTTTGAAATTCAAAATAGTTCTTTTTGCTTTTATTTTCATGGTTAAAAGAAAATACATATTCTTTGGAAAAAAAATGAAAATATGCAAGTGAACAAAAAGAGTAAAGCTGAGAACTCCTGAATTCCCACCAACCATGATACTTAGTCATAACCACTGGTAGAACACTGGAAAGTATCTTGCCATTCATGCTCTTTATAATTTACTTTTGCACCTAAAATACATGATGAACATTTTCTCATGTTAGTATCAAAATTCTGTTAATACTCACATATCCACGTAGTACAGACTTGTACAGATGCAACATACTTTATCTGACCACTCTTCCATTGTTGAACACTAGTGTTGATTCCTGGTTTGTTTTGTTGCTGTTGTTGTTGTTGTTGTTGTTTTGGGCTTTAATAAGTAATGCTGTGATGGGCACAAATGTAGCTAAATATTGGCATACCTACTTATTTTACTTTTAGGAATAAATTCTCTGGGTGCATTACAATTATTTTTCTCGTGTATAATAGTCACTTATATAATCTCTATCTTCCATTTTAGACTGGCAAATACATTTTTGAGAGGTTCAGATATATTTTCTCTTTTCTCATTTTACTGAGATAATAGAGCTTTGTAATTCTTCCCCTCATGGTTTATAGCCTGGTAGAAAGTGAAAGTAACCTGAAGAAGCCTGCCTTTTATAAAAAGCCTAAAATCATGAGGAGATTATGCCAGACATCTTAGGGAGGAAAGCAGCAAGGTAGAGATGCCTGGCTGGAGAAAAAGATGCCTGTAGGTTTCTTCAATACCATAGTTGGTCCCTAAAGAGGTGGCCAGACCTAAGTGGGTATGATAGGAGGATAGTACATCTAAGAAGTCTGAATCTGAGCAAAGAACCCACACTCTACATGTGGCATAAAAGAGAGTTCCTGGATTTCAAGGTATGCTGTGAACTTGGAAAAGATGATACTAACAACCATGACAGAGGGAAAAGTCAGTAGCTTTCTTCCATCTTCTGAGCATTGCAAATTCTCCTCGTGTGATCTTAGGAGGAAATGGAAGACTAAGAATGACTGATAAGGAATTTCCTAGCATCCTTTTGGAATGGTAGTTTAAAGCCTAATTGAGTGTATTTAAAGAATATTATATTATTTAAATGTCATATTTTAAGTTTTATCGTTAAACAATTATTGAATTATTCATATTCAATTATTCATATTATATTCCATAAATATCATTTGATAGACTTAAAGTCATACAACTATAATTGTAAGTTTCATAAGGACAGATACTTTATCTTTCTCATTTGTTACTGTATTTATAACTTCTACCAGAATGCTTGGCACACTGTGGGTGCTCAATGTTGACTGAATAACATTAGAAAGAAATTATAAAATGGGAACTGATAAAGTATTGAGGGACATATTAACTGTAGCTTTGGGGATACTAAAAAGACTTTATTGAAGAGATAACATTTGAGATGCAAAGGCTAGCAGAGCCTTGATACACTAAGTGTCTAGCAGAACCTTGATACACAAAGACCTAGGTAGCTCCTCAGTAAGACCTTATTGAGCTGCCTAGGGAGGCTAGAGATGAATTCTGTAATGATTCACAGCTTGCCTTGGCTCTATTTACTCTGTGTGTTCTGCTTTTTTCCTTTCCTGAGGTTTTAGTCAACACGTGTTTTAGAGGCTTTTACTTATCTAGTTGCTGACCACCCATGTCATCCCACTATATGAAGCATGTATTCTAACTTACTCAATTTATCTTTGATAGCTTGCAGTCTTAATGTGTATGGCCTCTGATCACCAACTCTTCTCCCTACAGCTTTCTTGCATGTAGTTTAGGACTTCAGGGACTAAGGTTATCAGCAAACTTAGCTGGGTACATAGACTTATTTCCAGATTGACAAAATGGCATAAGCAAAAACCACAGAAAAAAAGTAAAGGAAAAAGTCATAGAATAGCATGTAAATAAAAGTATGAGATAAGAAAGAAGCCCCATATTCCATCGTATGCCATATCTAGGATCATTGGTCATTTATATTCAGCCTTATTATATTTAAATCAAAGATAAATAGAATCAAAAAATACTAGATATTGCATATCACCTTAAAATCCGAACTGAAGAAATGTTATTTCTTTGATAGACAATAAAAAATCAGACATAACTAAGATTATGCAAGGAAAACTTTTCTGGGGAGATTTGAGATTTGATGACAATGATGCATTCTTGAAAAGGCTTATGTTGTTAAATATATGATTTTTTTAATAGGTAGGGGTCATTTTTCAGTTAAAAAAATCTATTTCAAGTAAAATCACTATTTGTAAGGAGTAAAGAATTTAAAATAAGAAGTTATAAATGTAAACAGCATTCCTATGCAACACGCTCTGAACCGATTGGTCATGCTTAGAATCCATGGCATCAACATGATTGATAAAATATTTTTATTCACAGGCATATTTACAGATGTATATCTCTACATATAGACATCAATTTATATATGTATATATACATATCTTATTTTTAGAAGTCACAAAATGAGGATAATTATCAAAGCAAAACTCATAGTGAACTAAAATTGTTTCAAAAGTTAATGAAATACTGTAGAAAAAAAACCACAACAGAGAAATGCTTGGAAAACATTTCATCTATCTTTTGATGGGAACCAGAAATCTATATTTATCTAAGTCAGCAAATGAGATGATCCATAGAACAAAATTATTTATCCTCAGGATGGCAGAGGGATTTAGGTGTGCAGATAACCATTTCTAAGAACCATGCTGACTCAGTCTGTTTCCTAAAATATCTGCTTGTTCCATTTTCTGCTTTGGAACTTGAGTCAACCCTGGTGTATTTAAACTTAGTATTTTGTTTCTGAACTTCACAAACATGGGCAAGTTTTTTACAAAAGACCAAAATTAAGTTGAGGTTTAGTTACGAAAACTTTACAGAACTCCATTTCACAGTCTGTGAATCCAATCAACATTCAAAATTAGGAGTTGATTAGCTAGTATATAGATTAGCAAGGCTATTTTGTGTTTCTCCAGTTGCTTCTCCTTTGACTATTTAATTGTCTACCTGAATTCTTATCAGATAAGACTCAGTATAAAAAAGTTCAAAACAAACAAGTAAAACAAGGCTATGCAATCGTAGAACACAGAAGACCAATATTATGCTTCCCCAACTTGTTACCTTAAATCTGGTCAAAAAGAACCATCACAAAAACAATATCAAAAAAAATTTTTTTAATCTCTAGTCTAGGAATAACACTCTTTATTTAATAAAAATAACTTTTTGATCTACCACTGCTCATGTTTACCATGGAAATCCAAGAATTTCTAGTGGACATGATATTAACAGTGTCCTGGACCACTGGAGTGAACCACGTAAAATGCAATAGAGATACACATTTCAACCCTCCCAAGTAAAAACAAAGTGAAATGCCATAATATGAACCACCAAAACTTAATTCCCAAGTCTTTCCAGTTTTAAATATTAGGCTGAGCCAAGGAAGACCAGTCATTTTTTCAATTTTATTTATTTATTTTCCTCTGTAAATCCCTTATTAGTTTCTGTAAATTAGTCAAAGGTGCACTCCTGGGGAATTACTTTTATAGATTCAATTAAAGTGTATCCTACTAGCATCCTGAAAGTTTGGGTTTAGCAAATATTTCCAGTGTAGGCGACACTTCTCAGAATTTTAAAAACATAGTAAGAGTGAGACTTTATTGAAGATCAGATGGTGTTCTTTTTGTGTGTGTGTGATTCTCTAATCTTTCCCATTGGTCTGTAGGTTGGGTTATCAGTTTTGTATATACATGCTGCCAATTTTTGTATTTCGATATTGTATCCTTCAACTTTGCCATATTCATTTAGTAGTTCTAAGAGTTTTTTTCTGGCATTCTGGAGAGTTTTTACATACAGAATTATTTCAGCTGCAAATAGAAATAATTTAATTTCTTCCCTTTAACTGAGAAGCCTTTTCTTTTCTTCTGCTTCTTTTTCTTTTTTCTTGTCTGATTGTTCTTGCTAGTACTTTCAGCACTATATTGAATAGATGTGTGAGAGTGGACATCCCTTGCTTTTTACCAAATCTCAATGGAAAAGCTTTCAGTTTTCCCCCATTGATTATAGTATTAGCTGTGGGTGTTTTTTTAATAAAAGACTCTAATTATGATGAAAAACTTTCTTTCTATACCTAAACTGCTGAGTATTTTTATCAAGAAAGGATGTTGGAGTAGGCAATGCTTTTTCTGTATCAATTGAGATAATCACATGGTTTTTAATCTTTTATTCTGTTAATGTGATGTATCACATTGATTGATTTGCATACGTTCAACCAGTCTTGCATGCCAGGGATAAATCCCATTCAGTCATGATCTTTTTGACTTGTTGCTGGATTTAATTTACTAATATTTTAATAAGGATTTTTGCAATGCTTTTCATCAGAGAAATTGCCCTATGTTTTTCTTTTCCTGTGATGTCTTTGTCTGACTTATGTATTAAGGTAATGTTGGCCTCATGAAATATGTTTAAAAGTAGTTCCTTTAGCTTTATGTTTCAAAAGAGTCTACAAAGGATTGATATAAATTCTTCATTGAATGTTTGGTAGAATTTGGCTGTAAAGCTATCTGGTCCTAGGTTTTTCTTTGTTGGGAGTTTTTGATTAATTTTTCAATTTCTTTCTTATTGGTCTATTTGGGCTTTCTATTTCTTCCTATCTCCATCTTGGTTGGAGCTATTTTTTTAGAATTTTTTTCATTGCACCTAGATTATCCAATTTTTTTTGGCATTGAATTGTTCATTATAGTTTTTTTTATCCTTTTCATTTGTAAAGTGTTTGCAATAATTAGTTCTCTTTCATCTCTGGTTGTATTCCTTTAAGTTTTTTTTTTTTTTCTTGGTGAGACTAGCTAAGAGGTTTGTCAACTTTTTTTCTTCAGGAAAAAAACTCTTAGTTTTATTTCTCTTCATATGGCTTATCTGTTCTTACTTGATTTCTTTCTTTTTGTGTGTGTGTGTTTTATTTTGATGAAATCTTGCTCTGTCATCAGCTGGAGTGCAGTGACACGATCTCAGCTCACTGTAATCTCCACCTCCTGGGTTCAAGCCATTCTCTTGCCTCAGCCTACTGAATAGTGGGGACTACAGGCACACTCTACCATACCCAGCTAATTTTCATATTTTTAGTAGAGATGGGGTTACACAATGTTGGCCATGATGGTCTTGACCTCTTGACCTCATGATTTGCCCACCTCAGCCTCACAAAGGGCTGGGATTACAGGTGTGAGCCACTGTGCCTGACTTATTAGATTTATTTCTATTCTGCTATGTATTATTTCTTTCATTTTCCTAGTTTTTTCTTTTTCTAGTTCCTTGACAATTAGACCATATTTATGGAATATTTCTTCTTTTTAAATGTAGGCATTTATTTCTATAAACTTTCCTCTAAAACTGCTTTTGCTATATTGCATAAGTTTTGGTATATTATGTTCCCATTGTGTTTGTCTCAAGATTTCTTTTGATTTCTTCTCTGATCCACTGGTTGTCCAGGAGCATGTTATTTAATTTCCACAAATTAATAAAATTTTCATGATTTCTCCTGTTATCGATTACTAGTTTCATACAATTGTTGTCAGAAATTATACTCAATCGGACTTAAATATTCTTAAATTTGTTAAAAAATGTTTTATCACCTAACATTGTTTCATGTACTCTGAAAAAAATATGTATTTTTCTGTTGCTGCTAGATGGAATGTTCTGTATGTGTCTGCTAAGTCCACTTGGTCAAAAGTACTTTTTAAGTCCAGTATCTACTGGACTCTCTGTCTGTTTAATATGTCTATTGTTGAAAGTGGGGTACAAAGCATCCTTCTATTATTGTATTGCTATCTATTCCTCTCTGTGTTCATTAATAGCTTATGTATTGAAATAGTCCAATATTGTGTGAATATATATTTACAATGATTATGCCATCTTGATAAACTGATTGATTTCATTCAGTAACAATGTTTTTTTTATCATATGTTAGTTTTTGACTTGAAGTCTATTTTATCAGGTAGGTATAGCCACTGCTGGTTTTTTGATTACAATTTGCTTTTAATATCTACTTCTGTCCCTTCACTTTCAGTCTCTGTGTATCCTTAAAGCTTGAATGGGTCTCTTTCAGGCAGCATATGGTTGGATATTGATTTTTGTCCATTCAATCACTCTGTGTTGAATGTAAATGAGTCAAATTACCCAATGAAATTACACAGAGTGGTTGAATTTGATCAATTTACATTCAAGGTTGTTACTGATAGGGACTTGCTACTGCCATTTTTGCTATTTGTTCTCTGCTTTTTTTGTAGTTTCTTTGTTCCTTAATTTCTCTTGTCACTCACCTTTATGATTTGGTAATTTTCTGTAATGCTAACTTCTGTTTCTTTTATCTTTATCATTAGTGTATCTACTGTAGGTTTTTTTGGTCACCATGAGGCTGACAAAAACATCCTATAGTCTACTATTTTAAGCCAACAATTCCTGATATATATAAAAACACGAGATTTTTATCACATTTATATTTTTGATGTCACAATTTACAACTTTTTATATTATATATGTTGTAACACTTATAGCTTTAGATATTTTTGATGATTTTGACTTTAACCTTCATACTAGAGATATATATGACTTTCACAATGCCGTTAAAGTATTGGAACACTTAGGATTTGATTATGTATTTGTCTCTAGTAGTGAGTTTTACATTTTCATATGTATTCATGATACTACTGATCATCCTTTGGTTTCTACTTGAAGAACTTCCTTAAGCATTTCTTGTAAGGCAGCTCCAACTGTAATAAATTATCTTGGCTTGTGCCAAGTATACTACGTTGCTTTGCTGGGTATACTACTCTTGGCTGATGGGTTCCCCCCACCCCATTTCAGCACTTTGACAATGTAATTCCATTATCTCCTAGACTGCAAAATTCATCCTGAGAAATGTGCTCATAGTCCAATAGAGATTCTCTTATATGTGGCTTGATATTTTTCTCTTCTTTCTTTTAAAATTATCTCTTTAACTTTGACTTTCAACAGTTTGGTTTTAATATGTCTCAGAAAGAATCTCTTCAGGTTGAATATATTAGAAATCCTTGAGCTTAATGGATCTGGATGTCCATATCTCTTCCCAGACTTGGGAAATACTCAGCAATTAGTTTACATAGGCTTTCTGCTCCTTTATCTTTCTCTTATCCTTTTGGGACTCCAATAATACAAATATTTATTCACTTAACAGTGTGCCATCAGTCCTGTAGTTGTCTTTGTTTTTTTTTTTTTTTTTTTTTTGACAGATTCTCACTCTGTTGCCAGGCTGGAGTGCAGTGGCATGATCTCAGCTCACTGTAACCTCCACCACCTGGGTTCAAGTGATTCTCCTGCCTCAGCCTCCCTAGTAGCTGGGACTATAGGCACGCAGCTCCATGCCCAGCTCATTTTTGTATTTTTAGTAAAGATGGGGTTTCACTACATTGGCCAGGATTTAAACTCTTAATTTTCCTTTGAGAATGTCAAAAGACTGATACCACAGTTCAAAAATTCTTTCTTTTTGATCTCCTCTGCTGTGAAACCTCAACCATATTTTTTTAATTCATTGTATTTAGGTCCAAGAATTCAGTATGGTTCTTTCATATACCTCTTATTTGAATTTCTCATTCGGATCATTGTTTTCCTGAATTCATTGAATCATTTATTTCTATTACCTTATGTCTCACTAAATTTCCTTAAGATCATGATTTTGAATTCCTTTTTAGGCAATTTGTAAATTTCTATTTTTGTGGGGTCCATTACTGAAGAATTATTGTGTTTCTTTGGTGCTGTCATATTTCCTTTTCATCTTTCTTGTGTCCCTGCATTGATGTCTGTGCATCAGACAGTGAAGTCACTCCTAAACTTTACAGAGTGGCTTTCATGGGGGAGGCTTTCACATATAGATAGGCCTGCATTACAGATTGAACAGGGTGCAAGCAACTCACCATGTGGACACAGTAGTGTAATCTACATTCAGCTTCTCTGATTCTGATCAATGTTTTTGATGACTAGAAGTGCCTATGTAGCCTAGACTGTAGGAATTTGTTGCAGTAATGGTGGCTGCATAAGTTATTAGGGTAAAGACTCTAGGGATCCTCTTATTCTTGTTTTTCTCACAGTGGGGAGTCTTAGCTGGGATCTTTCTTGATATTGGGTGTGATATGGCTATCAAGCAGCAACAAAAGCATTGGAATATAGAACACAGGTCCTTGGAGCAGCTGTGGAACTGGATTCTTGGGCTAAGCATTTTGTCAAAGTACCACAGAACCCAGAAATTGAGGTCACAGGCTCACTCTGCAAAGCACAAGAGAATGCAATTCTCCCACTAAGCTGAGGACTGTTTCTCTGAGGCACATCCTGCTGGGATGGACCCACAGACTGAGTGACAGATCAAAAACATATACTGACACAGATATTTTGCCTTTGTCCAGCCTGGGGTCCACTGCAAGAGTCAGCAGCAGCCTTGATAAGCTTGCAGCTTTCACATTTATTAAGTACAGATTAAATAATAAAGGTCTCAAGTAAACACCATTAGAGGGTAATTAACATTGCTGACCCCCTGAGTAGAGAGCACTCATATGCCTCCCCCCTCCATGGTAAACCAAAGATCAGTCTTAGGATCACATGAGTAAATAAACTATTTAGATAAACTCCTCTGCATTGCACCTTCTGGCCTTCCAAGAAGATTTGCATTTCTAAAATTTCTCCCACCACCCTGACCGAACTCCTACACATCTCAGTAGCTTTGTCCTAGGAGCTGGGATGTAGCTATGGTTCTAACCCTGGGAGGCACCAGCATGGATCTTGAAAAAAAAAAAGAGGAAAAAAGTGCTACAGAGGCTCAGGCCCCAGAGAGTTGGGCATAGCTGCAATTCAGGACCCAGCACAAACAGGGCACAGTGGCACGTGGGCTCCAGAAAATAAGGTACCAGGAGGTGGTGACTCTGGAACTGAAAATGGTAGGACATAGGAGTATCCCAGACTTTACATGGCCAGGTATAGCAGCAAGGATGCAAGTTCCTGATTGATTTAAGCCCCAGGGGACAGGAAGCAGTATAGTGATGCTCCCTTCAGAAGAGACGGGGTGTCTTTGCAGCTCAGACTGTAGGAGTCGGGTCCAGTTCTGGGTAAGTGGGCACTATGGGCTTTTTGGTCTGGAAGGTACATAGCCACAGTTCAGCCAAGACTCTACTCTGTCTGTTTAGCCCCAGAAAGTACAACTACATGGGTTAGTAGAGCCTCGGGATCAGTGGGCTCAAGGTGTGGAATCAACTATGATACTTAGAGGTACAGCTGCTTCACTGGGCCAGAGGCTCGTATTTCCAGGGTGCAGGGTGCTGTCTCACCTATTGCATAGGGTAGGGAGTTACTACTCCAGTATACCAGTAGCTTGAGGTCCCTGGGAAATAGGTTGATGCCTTTGATGCCTCAGCTCTGCCATCAGATCATAACTGTCCCCACAGTTAAAAGGCTCCAGGTCTTGGAGGTCACTTCAGCTTGACCCTGAGGGAAGAATGCACCAGCAACTGGGATGGGGGTAGAAGAATGGCTTTGTGGTAGCTTGGCCCTAGAAAGTAGGCCATAAGACAAGATTTCATTCCTTTTAAATAATATTCAATTGTGTGTGTACATATGTACCAAATTTTCTTTATCCATTCATCTGTTCATGGACATTCAAATCATTCTGTATCTTGGCTATTGCAAATAGTGCTACAGTAAACATGGGAGTGCAGATATCTCTTCAGTATATGAATTTCTTTTCCTTAAAACACTTCTGAACATTGAACTGGATAAAGACTTTATAGGGAACACATCGAAAGCACAGACAATGAAAGCAAACATAGACCACTGAGATCATATCAAATGAAAAAGTTTCTGTACAGCAAAAAAATCTCATAAGTGGGAGCTGAACAATGAAAACACATGGACACAGGGAGGGGAACATCACACACTGAGGCCTGTTGGGGATGGAGGGCAAGGAGAGGGAGAACATTAGGACAAATAGCTAATGCATTCTGGGCTTAAAACCTAGATGACGAGTTGATAGGTACAGCAAACCACCATGACACATGTATACCTATGTAACAAATCTATACGTTCTTACATGTATCCCAGTACTTAAAGTAAAATTTAAAAAAAAGAAAAGAAACAATCTACAGAGTAAAGAGACAACTTGTAAGACTGAAGAAAATACATGAAAACTATTCATCTCACCAGCAGCAGTTAGTATCCAGGATATAAAAGAAACTCAAACAGTGCAACAGAAAAAAAAAAACCTAATAATCTGATTTTAAAATTCTGAATAGACATTTATCAAAAAGAGTCATACTAGTGGCCAAGAAATACGTGAAGAAATGTTCAACATCACTAATCCTCAGAGAAATGAAAATCAAAACCATAATGAGATATTATCTCATCACCATTAAAATGGCAATTATCAAAAAGACAAAAGAAGAAATGCTGGTGAGGATATGGAGAAAAGGGAACTCATATACACTGTTGGTAACCATTATGAAAAATAGCATGGAGGTTCTTCAAAACCTAAAAATAGAAAACCAGATGATTCAGCAATTGTATTACTGGGTATTTATCTAAAGAAAAGGAAATATTAAAGGGACTGTTTTTAGAGACTTACTTGCCTAATCTTGGTTTGTCATTGAACACCAAACTTGTAACAGTTTCAGATTTCAGAAACAGACTTCCATTTTGTTTCATTATTCACTGGAAAAGTCACTTTCTGCAAGGTGACACCAAATTTGTCTTTCCAATGTGAATCATTAATCCCCAGTCCTGTGCAAACCAGGAAAAAGTGATCCATAATGTGTCTCTTTAAGTGTATCCCTCTTAGATGTGTTATTCATTTTCCCACAAAAATTACTACATGTATAGTCAACCTGAGTGCAAACTAGAGAACATTTATAATAAAAAGCGTTTTCTTATGTAGGATATAAACTAAGCTTATAGTTATTTTTTAAGAAAGCCACCTTAGAAAAGCTTCCTTTAAAGACATATATGTAAGGCAAGAGTTATATAACTCATACTAATGAATGACAGTAAGTTATGATAAGGTTCTTGGCAATGAATGGTTTTGATTATATTGCAGGATTGATCACTTTTTACATCTATGTATTATTGATCAGTTGGCTGCTCTTGCTGAAGAGACTTCAGCATTATTTATGATTATTTATGATCATTTACAGTAGTCATTTTCAATATAGGGAATTTGTATCTTGATTTAAAAAGTCTGACAATTCTATCATTCTTCTGTTTCCTTAGTATATTCCAAGAAATTAGATTTGGTTTAAGAAGATGTCACTTGAGGGCCAGATGTGGTGGCTCACACCTGTAATCCCAGCATTTTGAGTGAAGCACTTGAGGCCAGGAGTTTGAAATCAGTCTGGCCAATAGGGTGAAACCCCACCTCTACTAAAGATACAAAAATTAGCTGGGTGTGGTGGTGCATGCCTATAGTCCCAGCTACTTGCGAGGCCTAGACAGGAGAATTGCTTGAGCTCAGGAGGCAGAGGTTGCAGTGAGCTGAGATTGCATAAGCCTAGGTAACAGACCAAGACTGTCTCCAAAAAAAAAAAAAGAAAGGAAAGAAAATGTCACTTGAGAAGCATGAAAGTACTCAAACAGCAAGAAATAATTATCTCTAATTGGGGTTTAAAGTTAGACTCTCCAGTTAAATATGATATCTATTAATTCTGTGGAATAAGTATTATTCCACAATTTAGTGGAATTTAGTATTTAGTGAATTACAGATTTACTAAACTGACACTGAGTTGATTCTATGCAGAACTCATGACTCACACACATTTATTATTATGGCCTGCAATGTAAGAATTATCTATCCTACTTGTTAATTCTAATAAAACCTTTTTCTTTTTATATTGTATGTTTTGTGCATCTTGAATCTTCCTTGCCTCTTCTCAGTACTAATCAACAAAATTCCAGAGTTTAACCTTGGAAATTAAAGGCTAACTGTAAATAAAAGAAGTTTCCACAAATTAAAAAGAAGCTGAATTCTCCTGAATCTGCATAAATCCAGATTCAATTTTGCACAAATGCTGAATTCAGAACTTTAAAAAAAGAGTACCACTCTTATTTCTTGTCCTGGGTGGGGGGAATATGTAATCCTTTTATTTCTATTACTAAAACTGTCCTTGGAAGTGTTATTTGAACAAAGAATCCTTATGATATCAGGGATTTTCAGATGTAACGTTCTGCGAAAGTAAGCTTTAACCAGCTGGTTATGTGCCTATGACTCCTGCCTGTAATCCCAGCACTTTGGGAGGCCAAGGCAGGTGGACCACGAGGTCAGGGGTTTGAGACCAGCCTGGCCAACATTGTGAAACCCCATCTCTACTAAACATAAAAAAATTAGCAGGGCATGGTGGCTCGTGCCTGTAATCCCAGCTACTCTGGAGGCTGAGGCAGGAGAATCATTTGAACCCACGAGGCAGAGGTTGCAATGAGCCAAGATTGCACCATTGCACCCCAGCCTGGGTGACAGGGTGAGACTCCATCTCAAAAAAAAAAAGAAAAAAGTAAGCTTTAACTTCTAAAATGTCTCTAATACAGATTAGTTGTTTTAGCAGATAACACTTTGTTTCCCTGGTGATAATATTTACATTAACATTTCTGTTTTGAAAAAGCACCAATAGTTATAAGATTTGTCAAACCACAAGAGGACCACCAATACTTCTCTTCTCTCTCACTCATGGGAATGCAGTGAGACCTGTGACTGTTCTGAATATGTGTGAATGAAACAAATTGTTATTTGGTGTTCAATGACCTTGATATGCTCAAACCTTAACTCATATTCTTCCTTTAAACTTCATGCATATTGAATTTCTTTGCCATCATTAACATATGCCTTATCCTTTCTGGCCTCTAGTTATGTTATTTGGCTGTTCTCTCCTCCTAAAATGCCCCTTTTTAATTCTTTCTCTATCTTCTATCTCTAACGGCCACTAAATGCTACCACATTTGAAATTCCAACCACCCTTAAACCCTAACTGAAGTTCTTTAAATTCTCATGGTGCTTTACTCATAACTCTTGGTCTATTCTGTATTATAATTATTTATAGTTATTATATCTGTTATGATATGGTAACCATCATGAAATTACAATTTGTCTGAATCTTTTTACCCTACAGTTACTATCAAAGTATCTTGTACATCATAAGACCTCAAATGAATGTTGAAAATATTTATTTCCTTTTTTGCATTACGGTATTTTTCCACAGCAGAAAAGAATATGCTGCAAATAATAAAGGAATCATAGTCTACGAGGATTCACTTGAAACAGAATATAACTTATCTCATTGATTTGTGTTTTCAATAACTGAGGTTGTATGTAGACTAGAAATAAATCTATGTTAGAGACATTCATGTAATAAATAATCGCTGAGCTATCACCACTTACTGATTGAGCTCCTACTTTGAAGTCCTTGTAGCTTATTTGTGAGGGTAAGCATCAGAGAATTTTTTTAAGTGGGAGGTTAGATTCAGTATTTTGCTTCACTTTGTCTTTTAGATTTAATTTATGAAGAGAAAGAGTGATTTTATCTTAGCTCAGTGCTTTCAGACAGCTGCTCATGCTACAGAGTAGGAAATATTTTTTTAAAAGACAGACAAGAAAAAAGAGAATAGAGTCATAACTGAGGGGAAGGAAGTTAATTTTAAGCCCCAATTATTCAAATTAAATGGTTAACTGATAACTAGTTACTGTTCTTTGTTAGAGTCTATCTTGTTTGGACCATGTATGCATGGACAACAGAAGCATTAGAAAGAAACTAAAAGTTATTCAATGTTCACCAAGAGTCAGGCCCTCTGCCAAGTGATTTGCATAAATTATTTAATCCATTATAACAACCATTTGGGATACACGTAGATTCAATATACCCTTTCTATTGAGGAGGAAACGGAGGCTTTGGAGATTTAAGTGTAGCTACAAGGTCAACAGACAAGCCAGCGTACACATTTCAGCCTCTCAGTCCCCCAGTGGTCTCTCCACTATAACATACTGAATCAACTCAAATGGAAACTGAATATGCACATTTTAACTGTACTCTTTTTTCTAACCTTTCTCTGACATTCTTTTAATTGGAGAATTTTAATTTGTTATCTGACTTTAGGCTCTAAACATTCTGAATAATTACATAATCAAGGCATAATCCTAAGTCACAGAGTAAATAGAACTTTCTCAAATACTTTCCCGTATTACGGAAACATGATAAAGTTAAAGCAAATATAGCCCAAAAAGGCTTGTACTCTGGTTCCAGAGTCAGGCTCAGTGGAATTTAAAGCCAGCAGGAGGTGAGGATAAAACTGGTACAGCTGGAAAAAAGGGCAGGTTCCCTAATCATCTCAGTAGATTACAGTTTTGTTACTGAGAAGAGTTGGAGGGTCACCCTACTGAGAGCGTCTTCAAGCATGTTTTCCTCTAGCTTCAGAACTTACTTTGTATATGAGATGTTTGAATAAATCTTTGAACCTACGCATTTCTCAGCAGAACACAGAAAAGGAACTGATTAGAAATTTAAATTTCAGAAACATTCAAAGTTGAAAAATAGATATTTCTTCCCAAAATACTACACAGAGGCTTCTAGTGAGTCTTATTATGCTCATTACAAAGGGTAAGTACACTGGCATCCACACTTGGATGGACTGTTTGAAAACACACAGGATTGTCAGACAAATGAGAGCAGGTAAAAGAAAAGATAATATGTCAATTCTCAATTATTCAATATCCCTCTATGCAGTCAGTGACCTTTATTGAATCTGCTGTCTTATTAATCATTTGCATATCCAGCAGAAGGTGGGAAGGGTCAGTTTGTCAGTGTCTTTTACTGGAAGTCCCTTGTTCAGAGAGTTGCAGTGAACTTGACAAAGCATACATGAACATAGAAGACAGACCACTAGACCTCAAGCATCTTTCATTGTAATGGAAAAACAAAGAAGTACACAGAAATTTTGTCATTATTATGGTCAGTGCCCTTTGGCATGGAACACATATGAGTAATCATCTCATGAAATGAAGATGGCACATTAGTCTTACGTGTTTCACAAATACAGGGCCTCTGTTCTGTGCTAACCACTTTAGACATGGCAGTGTGGCAGATAGCACACACTTTGTATTAATTACTTATTTGGCTGTTCCCCCATCCTCAATACTGTAAGTTTTAAGCACTAAAAAATTTCTTTCCACTTATTACACTATATCAGGTACTTTATACAGTAGGGTGCTCAATAACTATGTTTGAATGCATGACTGAATAAATGAATATAATGTTTTCAGTGTCACTTTGGCATGTACACAATCACCACAAATTTTGCCCTTTTCAAAACAAAGCCTTTTTAAGAAAACATGTAATCTTCTATTGGCTGACAGGTGACAGATTTTGTTGCATAATAGAGATTGTTAAATAACCACTTCTCATGCAAAAGACCTATAAGATGAAGGTACATTTGATCTGAAGAACTTCCCAATCCACTCTTATCAAAAACCCTTTTGTGATACCATTTCAGGGTCACGCCGCATTCATTCTCTCTACAGAGGTATTTTAACTCCCCATGCTAAGGGCTGGAGGCAGAGCAGCAAACTAACATGCCACGCATATGGAGCTTTCAGTTCAGAGGTAGTAAAGTCACTAAAAGAGACAAAAATTACAAACCATGGTGAAAAGTTAAAGCAGGGGTGTCCAATCTTTTGGCTTCTCCAGGTCACACTGGAAGAAGAACTGTCTTGGGCCACACATAAAATCCATTAACACTAATGACAGCAGATGAGCTAAAACAACAACAAAAAAATCTCATTATTATTGAAGAAAGTTTATGAATTTTTGTTGGACCACATTCAAAGCTGCCCTGGGCCACATGTGACCTGCAGGCCAAGGGTTAGACAAGCTTGTGTTAAGGTAAAGCATTATATTATCTGTGTTAAAATAAAGCAGTATATATTTCTACTTATTACAATACAGCAGATGTTTTATATATTAGAGTGCCCAAAAACCATTTTTGAATGTGTGACTGGGATAAATGAATAAAAGGTTTTCAGTGTGACTGCAGCATGGTCACAATTACCTTGATCCTCCTAATCCTTACTTGGGACTAAACAGAAAATCCTGATCTATTCTTAGATAGGGATTAGAATGATCAAGGCCATATGCAAAATATTTCAATTAAATGTTTTCATTCTAACAAGAAATTGAATCAGTTCTTCAAAGCTGATATGCGGTCCCCAACCTTTTGGTACCAGGAGCCGATTTTGTGGAAGACAATTTTTTTCACAGATCAGCAGGAATAGTTTCAGGCTGATTCAAGCACATAACATTTATGGTACACTTTATTTCTATTATTATTATACTGTAATATAAAATGAAATATTATACAAGTCATCATAATATAGAATCAGTGGAAGCCCTGAACTTGTTTGTATATCTCCTTGCCCATGTATTAAACTTTAAGAAAATGTATTCTACACATTTTCTACACATGTGCCTGAGATTACTGTCTTTCTGCATATTAAATGACAAGAACCAGTTCCATAGGCATACTTAAGGAGGAACCAAGAGCCATGTAAGCTTCTTTTCTTTATAAATTATCCAACCTCAGATATTTATCTATAGCAATGTGAGAACTAACATACTATGTCCTGGCATCAACTCTACAATTAAAAAGGGAGCATATATCTTTGATAAATGGCTCACCATAGAAAACATAAACCAGAGAATGTAACTAGAAGGAGAAAAGCGGTTAGAAATAGAGATATAAATCTGGGAGGTGTATACTTAATTCCTATGCAGAATGCATAAGAAATATGACATCCCAATAGAGTAGATATGGAAAAGGTATAACCCAAATACAGGTTACTAATAATCATATACGTTTTGAAGTAAGATTCAAAAGGGAAAATAAAACTCAGATAAACTCAATGTCACTAAGTCTAAAGGAAGTGTCTTAAGAGAGCAGAGGCAGCAACAACTACCAAATCCTGAAGACTGGGGAAAGCCAGATGAATATATAGAGAAAAACACTGATGGGAATTGATGACTATGAGACCGTTATGTCATTTTATAATACTGTGACTTTTAACAGTTGTGGGAGCAGAAACCATATGAAAAGGGATGACAGAGTAAGAAAATTGTGAGAAACTTCAGCTCATTTAGATATTAATCTTTACAGATAATCTAAGAAAAAAAAGAAGTGTGCAAAACAATATTGAATGTTGAAGATTCAATAACAGAAATGTTATTGGATTGGCAAACTGGAATTCTATGGAAATATTTAAGTTTGAAGCTAAAGATCCAGTTCAAAACAAGAATGTAAATGTGTAGCCATAAACTGTAGTACTGAGAAAACAAGGTCACAGAGAGTGTGAAGAAGAGTTTTGAGAATATTGGGAGTAAATAAGAAGCTAAAAAAAGCAATTAAATGAACAACAAAATATGCAAAAGATATATTTAAGTTATTTATGAGGAAACATTACAATAATTGAAAGATAAAAATTGTGGCCAAAGATACGCATTCTTGGATAGAAACACTAATCATAAAGGTAACAATTATTTTTAAGTCAAACTCTACATATAATATGATCCCAATTTTAAAATACCAACAAGTTGCTTCGTCTTCTGGAGAAATACATATCTTGATTCTAGAGTTCAGATGGTAATATAAACAGGCATGAAAATCTGTGAAACTGATGAAAAAAGACAAGAAATATGGAAACAATATCTATTTCAAATGTTAAAATGCATTTTACAGCTAGAATAACTAAACCAGTATAGTGAATGCTAAGCATGAAGATTTAATGTCAATAACATTAAAACGTCAGCAAACAAACTCTAGCACATTTGGCAATTATGTACAGGATAAAGATGGCATTGCAAATTCATGTTGAAAATGAATATTTCACTAAAATATATTAGGGCAACTAAGTTACCATTTAGAAAACAAATAAAAACATTTGAGTGCTTTTATCCAACTTTCTTAGCAAGCATCTTACTCTAATTATTCCCCAACCCTTCTCTTCTTCACCTTGATTGTTATATTGCCTTATCAGCCCGATAGAATATATTATTAATAAATCAAATATTTAAATACAGAATATGAAGTGTACATAATATTACTAAAAGAAATCATGGAAATATTTTTAAATAATCTCACATTGAAGCTACTGTCTATCATAAACAGAAAAACAAAAACATAAGTAATGAATGACAAAAATCTAGAGGAAAAGTATCAAAAGATAAACTGGGAAAAATATTGATAACTAATATCCTATGCAATATGCAAGTCTCCAAACCGCAAAAAAATAAACCCCTTGAAAGAAAAAGAAGCAAATTATATAAGCTGAGAATTCATAAAAATGGAAATATAAGTGATTCTTAAACTAGAAAAAAACTTTCAATCATAATAAGAGAAATAAAAGTAAGACTTTTTTTCCCTATTAGATTGATAAAGACCAAAAAAATCTGATAATATTCATGACATTGATGTGGATGATGTAAGAAAAGGGGCATTATTACACACTGCTGGTGAGAATATAATGTGTATGAAAGCATGACATAAATAAATGACAATTTGAAAGCATCTCTCAAAATTACAAATGCACCTAGTTTTAACTTCAGGAATACTTACACACAGACATGAAAGCTCAGCACAAGGCTGTATGTTGCAACATTGTTTATATTAGCAAAGTTATCAAATCAAATATTTCTCTAGTGTGTAGACATCCTAAAATAAAAATGAGTTGCTTTTAAAATCAGAAAAAAATGCAGTAACTGTTATGAGATACACAAATTGCCTCCACAACACACACACACAAACGTTAATAAGGCAGACTGTTTGAGAGTAGAAAAACAGTTTGATAGCTGCATTTTGGGACAGTAAGCAGGCCTAGCCCTCCTGGTGAAACAGAAGTGAAAATGGTTTTCACCGGAAAAAACTGCATAAGATACAGCATGTTACAGAACTATCAATTCGGGCTTTCAATGCATAAAGTAACATAGATCCATTTACTTATTAGAGACACAAGCTTTTTCAATAGCCTTTGAAAATTTGTACTGTCTGAAAAATATAAATAAGTAATGTGTCACCTAATGATGGGAACATATTCTGAGAAATACATCATTAGGCAATTTCATCAATGTACAAAAATCATAAAGTGTACTTACACAGCCTAAATGATATAGCCTACTACACACCTAGGCTGTATGATACAGCCTATTGCTCCTTGCTACAAATCTGCATAGCAAGTTACTTTGCCAAATGCTGTAGGCAACTATAACTCGAGAGCAAGTATTTATGTATCTATACATGTCCAAACACAGGAAAAGCAAAGTAAAAATATCATATAAAAGATAAAAATGGTACATCTTTATAAGGCACATATGAATGGACTGGAAATTGCTCTGGGTGAGGCAGTGAGTGAGTGGTGAGTGAATGTGAAGGCTGAGGACATTACCATACACTACTGTAGACTTTAGAAAAACTGTACACCTAGGCTACGTTAAATTTATTAAAAATTTCTTCCTTCAATAATCAATTAACCATGGCTTACCATAACATTTTACTGTGTAAGTTAATTTTTTAAACTTTGATTACTTTGTGATACATTTAGCTCAAAACGCATTGTAAAACTCTACAAACATACTTTATATACTTATTCTATAAGTTTTTTTCTGTGTTAAAAATTTTTACTATTTTTAAAACTTTTTGTTAAAAACTAAAATGCAAAAACACACATTAGCCTAAATGTACCCAGGATTAGGATCGTCAATATCACTATCTTCCACCTCCACATCTTGTCCCAGTGAAAGATCTTCAGAAGCAATAGCACACATGACACACATAGAGCTGTCATGTCCTGTGATAACAATGCTTTCTTCTGGAATATCCTATGGAATGATCTGCCTGAGGCTGCGTTACAGTTAAACATTTTTAAAAAATAAGAAGGAGCACAAGCTAAAATAATGAATAAAAAGTATAATATAGTGAATATATAATCCAGGAATATAGTCATTTATTATTAAGTATGAACTTTCTATAATGGTATGTGATAGATTTTTTAATCACTGACAGTGCAGTGAGTTGTTTACACAGCACCACCACAAAAATGTGAGTAATGCATTGCACTATGACATGATGACAGCTATAATGTCACAACAGCTCTAACTTCACCAAAGCTACAACGTCACTAGAAAATAGGTATTTTTCAGCTCCACTACAGACTCATGTGACCACTGTAACATATGCAGCCTACCATTAATTAAAACATCATTATGTAGCACAAGAATGCATATTGACACTAAAATTATGAATTTTAAGTAAATGTGTGTAGTTTTACATATTGATTCACCAATAATTTAATTCACTTCATATTTAACTACAGCAACATTTGAGATATATTCATTTTAACATGTTGACTTCAGTGCAGGATTCAGTTTCCAAAAGAAATAGTGCCTAAAGACCTTTAAGAGACTCTGAGACTTAGTTCAATAAAAATGTAGTAGTTTAAGAAATAAAGATACTTTAAAAATAACAAAAAATGGAAACACTCAAGTGTCCATCAACAGATGAATGGATAAACAAAATGTAGTGTGCACGTGCATACACACACACACACACACGGAGGAATATGGTTCAGCCATAAGAAGCTATGAAGTAATATACACATGACAACATGAATAAACTCTGAAAACTGTATGCTAAGTGAAATAAGCCAGATGCAAATGGACAAATATTGTACGATTCTATTTATATGAAGTATCTAGAATAGACAAATTCATAAAGACTTAAAGCATATTACATTGCCAGAGTCTGTTGAGGAGGTGGGGATGGGGATATACTGCTTAAGGGATTTAGAGTTTCTCTTTAGGGTCGTTAAAAAATTTTGGACATGGGTAGTGATGATGGTTCAACAACACTGTGAATGTAATTAATGCCACTGAACTATACACCTATAAGCAGCTAAAATGAAATCTTTTACATTGTATAGATATTTTACTACATTAAAAAATTAAGATAAAGATAAGACAGCACTTTTAGAAAACTAATAGCAGTCAAATATCCCTGAGGGGATTTTGTACCATGCCCCTTTGTATGTTCCTATACTGCCTTATGCTGTATGTTGCCACATTTCAGAAATAGCAAAGCTCAGGATAAGGTATGGAGATTAATAATAATAATTAACCATAGAACAAATTTACAAATGAGGGAAGATACAAAGGTCAGAATTTCTCAATCTAAAAACTAAGGTTGAAATAACTTAAATTGCTGTAAACATTGAAGAAATGGAAGTCAACATAGATATTTATGAAATCTTAGATGCCTAGAACTTAAATCTAGAAAACAGTACACTCTAGAAGTACATTACTATGTTTCATAGATCAAAGCAGTCTGCCAACTACAAGCGAAATAGTTTCCAAAATTTTGAGGGTTAATTTGTACATTATCAGCATCAAATTATCAAGGGACGTTAAAAGGTATATAAGGTACATTTCTAGTCTATGGAATTTGACATCAAATGAAATAATTATGCTGCCTCATAGGTACCACTTTAAAAGTTAAAAAAATGCATAAACTAGCAATATGTCTTGCATTTGGAGTAATTTAAATCATCTGTAATATAATAAGTGATCTAATATATTTCTATAAAAAATGCAAACATGTATAACACATATATTTCAGAAACTCACTCTCAGTCAAATTAGATGACATAATTGGCATTCTGTATTAGAGGAAGTGTGCAGGCAGACTATAGTCATAGAAGTTGGTCTCCTTATTATCTTCAGCATTTTTAAGGAAGATTGGACTTGTGCCATAGAAAAGTATCTATCGTTCACTATCAGACTTGGTGTTCATGCATCAAAGCATAATTTGGTCCATTAACTGTGGGTAAAATAACAGTATAGAATATTCTGTGATAACACAAACATAACTTGATGCAGTATTGGCATTCATAGTTTCTCTCAAGTGTGTGGTGTTAAGGCACACTGAAGATGGTCAATCCCTAATATTCAAAACCTTGGCAGCTTCCATTTCACTTGTCTTCTGGGAAAACCCAGTGTGTCACAGCTGGAAGAAATGGTAATGTGCTCAAATTTCCTTCTGTATTTTATCCCAGGACCTGGTAATTCTGAATGGCATTTGGCCCAATCACAGAATTTTTCTTCCGCATTAGTTTTGCCTTTCCTGGAACTTTTTTTTTTTTTTTCAAAATCTGCACCAAATAAATCTCAGGATCATGCCATGAAATCAAAGTCCCCAGACCCTGTTTTTGAATCAGGTTCTTTATGCATTTAGCGCCTTTTCAAGACATCAACTCATTATCATTTTTAGGATTCATTTTGGGAATATTTTCTTATTTTAACTCCTTTAAGCCTCTGTGATTATAAATAGTGTCCTTATTATGGCCTGCTTCTGGCTTTTCTCACAGAGACTTTGCTGAGACTCCCAGAGTTGAGCAGCCTATTTTTGTGCTCTCTTGAGGAGAGTTGTTCCCCAGCCCTCCCTCATTGTGAATTTGTTCTGGGCTGTGGACTGCCTCATGTTTTGATGTTTCTGTCCATTAACTAGCTCTTGCCTTTCAACCAGGAGCTTCAGTTTCCTGTTTACTGCCCTCTTTGTTGCAGCTCTTTGCTTAGTGCTTCAGTCCCCTTGTCAATAGCATCCATGGTAACTTCCTGTGTCATCTCTTGCCCCTCCTTCTCCACAGATTGCTTTTCACCAATTTGGCTTTCCAAAGACAGCCTGTCAGCCGCTCAAAGTCCCTTAGACTGTGCTCATTTTAATTATTATTAAAAGGCAGTAAGGCTGACACAAATAGGCAACCATCTACACTGTGTTATTGAAAAGGCACAAGGAATTAGTCCTGTCCAGGCTGCCAGAAATTCTACACAAAAGATTTATTTCCTGATTTCGAAATTTTTAATATTTTTAGGGAATCTTGATCAAAATGCAAATAGTCTTTTCTGTCAATTCTCAGGTTTTTCTCCATATATCTACTGTTATGCCTATCATATATTCTATTGTACCTGGTATTGCTTATTGCAATTAATTTTATGTTTCTGTGCCCTCGTAAGACTGAAAGCCATTTGCATAGCAAAGATGTGTCAATACTTGTATCTTAGTGTCTAAGGTAGTACATATTAATGGTGGGTCTTAATATATGGTTGATGAATTTAAAAATATAAAATATAGGTGGAGAGGTGAGAAACTTATACCATTAATTTTAATGCATTTATTTTAATTGTAGTACTTATGAGTATCCATTAGGATACTGAAACAATTGATGCAGCAGTAAACCCAGATAACAAAGGCTTAAATACAACATGAGGATGTTCTCTCATCATGAAGAGTCCAAGGGAAGGCAATTACTGGTATTAATTTAGAACTTCAAGAATGTCAGGGCTAAAGTCTCAGTAATTTCTGATCTTTCCCTCAAGGTTGCAAGGTGACTGCTCTACATCCAGTCATCATGTCTACCTTCCAGGAAATTATAAAGGAAGGAGGGTCCTGAAGGAAGATAAGGAAAAAATCTGTATCAGGAAAACAGAAATTTCCCAGAAATTCCATCGAATTTTTGTTTATATCTCACTAGAAACAATTACGACAGATTATCTTTCATACCAATAAGGAGAATGAGAAAATAGAGGACTTGTGTATTTGTTTTTGTCCGTAACAATAATAGGATTCAGCAAGTAAGAAAGAGGATATTATATTAAACAAGCGAGAAGAATTCTGTGTCATTAGGGATAGTTTCGTGCACTGAGGAGTATATGAGTGCTGAAAGAGAGCCAATGTAAACACAAGAAAGAGCACACATGAAGTCAACTAATGGCTGCTTCCCCATCCTGCCCACTAATGGCTGATAGTAGTTAGGCATTTGATCTATCAGCTCTAAAGCCTGACTGAACGCATGAGCTTCATGGGAATTCTAATACAACATCTTTATATTTTTCATTCAGTCTCTTATGAGCTTCATAAATAAGCCTTTTCCTGAACACTTTCAATGTACCTGGTACTGTGATACAATACCTACTTCAAGTTGTCCACTGTAAACTGAACTTTGCAGTAACAGAGTGGTCATAGGGTCTTTAGTGGCCCCCTGAAGAGGTACCTAATTCAAGCTGGTTATATCCTTGTGCAGGAAGGTTATTCTGGAAAGGATTACAGTAAAAAGTAAAAGAGGAGCTGAGTCTTGAAAAAAATAAAAGGACTCACCAAATGAAGACATGCAAAGGCTGTTACTGACATAGGGAGTTGGTGCATAAAGAAAGACACAGGGAGGCAAAGAAAGCAGAAAGCATTCTAGGATCTGTAACTTTTTCAGCAAAGCACAACATCCAAGGAGTGAGGACAATGGCAGTGAGTGAGACAAGCTAGAAGAGAGGTAAGCAAGAACTAAAGATGGTTTTGAGCAATGAGACACTATTATTTTAACCTTATATTAGTTCTATGCCTTAGAAAAATTAGCCTGCTCTTTAATTGATTGGAGAGGGGTAAAACTGGAGAGGTGGAATTAATTCTGTTAGGAAACTCTTCTAATTATTCAAAATATCAAGGCCTAAACTAAAACAATATCAGAGGTTCCACAGACAGTAAACAAATTAAAGAGCCCACTTACGTGTGTGTGTGTGTGTGTGTGTGTGTGTGTGTGTGTGTGTGATGG